CAAGTAATATACTAGATTTACATAAATTATAACTTATTCATTAAACCATGTACGAAAATATTCATCACATAAATCATATAAATTTGATAAATGTTGTGATGATGTAAATAAATCAGATACATATATAAATGAACTTATTAATTCATATTACATATATTTCAATTAGAATTTGTAAAGATGATGTTAAATTAAAACCATGATGAAAAAATAAGCGATCAAATAAACTCTAAATTATATATATTTTAAAAGTGGATGCCAACAAAGAAAATGTTCATACTCTAATTTTCTGATTGATAGAATATATTTGAAATTATTGATATAAGCCAAATCAAAGCCAGAGAAACACTAGATTTTTTGTTTGATGAAATTAATAATTTAGCAATGAATTTATCTTTCTCTTCAACTTAGAGTTCTGTATACACTTATTTTGAACGTTCAATATTAACAAAACTGATAATGGTAATGTATTATTACTTTGAATTGATGTTAATATAGTATCATATGAAAGTTGTCCATATGATAATAAATCACGTGTACCTAACCGTTCAATATTTGTAAATAAATTCTTTGAACTTGTATCTAATGTTGAACATGTTTGCATATATTGACCACCGATAAAAAAAGAACAGATAAAATCTAGTTTATTTTTCAATCTTGTTACTATTGTGTTGCATTTATTTCTAAAGTTTCTTCTTTTTTTTTTAAAATTATTTGTTGTTTGTTTATTTTCATCATTAGATTGATTTATGGTGGATTAATTGAAGCTAAAAATGAAGTCTATATTTCTTAAAATTGTATTCTTGATAATCAACCAACTTCAAAATTGTCTTGATATATGTATACATGAATTAAATATTAATAAACAAAAATAATAATATAGCTATACAACGTAAATCATGTCAATAAATATATGATATATGTTTATATAAATTATTTCTGATATAAACATAATAAATCATGTATATCACCTGTTGAAAATTGACATGTTAATTCAACATGATTTTGTATTTTATCAATATACATTGATATAGAATCTATGAATGTAATTGAATATGGTTGATTATTAGAGCATGATAAAAGACTTTTTTACATAAATTATATTAGGTGTTGTTTAAATGTCATTTTAATTTGTTTCATTTGATATAACTGTACAAAATCCTAGGAAAACAAAAAAGGAACAGATTTATATTGTTTCTTATTTTCTCAAATCAATTTTCATTTACTATAAGAATCATCCTAAAAATTTTATGCTATGGAAAAAAGCCAGTAGGTTTTCGGAGTTCACGAGTTCAAACTTATAGAAAGTTTATCGAAATTCTCGAATGCAATTTATTTCAAAATATTATTTTCGGTTGCAAATAAATAACAATCGAAAACATCTTATGAAATATAATATTAGAAAGACGTCGTTTTCTTTAATTGTAACAGTATAAATAGCACGACTGAGAATTTGATCAATAAGATTCGAGAGAAATTATTCGGTCATTGTACTAATGTAACTTAAATGCTTTCCTTTACGATTTGTATTACCTGAAATTCTGCATAT